AACAAATGGAGCAAAAGTATCTGATAGGGAATCCCAAAGCACTTTTTGTGCCTTCATGGCTTTTTGCATGTTCTGCATTTTTTTATCTCAAATGTGCTAGTTAATCTGTTCTGTTCGCCCATAAATAGTTCATCAGCGCCAACGGTCATTTTACCATTCAAAAGCGTGAAGATGGTATGCTTTAGAGTTCCTTTTATTCTACTGGTTTTTGCTGTAGCTGTACAACTCAAAATAACTCATCATCCCACGAATTTTGCTCTTTGGAATTTGGCCAGTGTTGCAAAATGTATGCTTGGCTACTATCCGCTGGTAAGCAACTCTGTCAAAAATACTTATGCTTTACTTATGTAGAATAGTTTGCAGATTTTAGCCAATTACGGATGCTACTGTGGTTTGGGAGGTGGTCACAGGCCAGTAGACAAAATTGATGAGTATGTTATACATGATCATATCTTATAAGCCATATTACATAACATATTTAGAATGTGTAAGTGATTAGGTGTGAAAGTTAGATTTCTGCGCAAATAAGGAGTCTGGCTCATTCTGTTTATAGATGCTGTATGCGTCATGATCAATGCTACGGTGCTGCTCAATGCAATGAGTGTAAATTTTACTATTTTTTCGTTTACGTTATAAACTACAGCTGGAAGTGCATCAATGGACAAGCTTATTGTTCTGGTTAGCATCCTTTGGAGCTGATTTAGGTCAATCAATGACTGAGGTGCTTTGTTTTTAGAGAAACAAGATCCATGTAGAAGAGCTTTGTGCAATTGTGATGTCGAGGTCGTGAAGTGCTGGAATAAGCATGGTGGCATACCTTTGAAAAGAGCAAAGTGTTACACAATGAATTGAACAATCTCATCGAAACAATGCAAACTCTTATTAAGAAGCTGCATTCAAAACGTAAGCTCTTCAGGAATAGAATTTCCTCACAATCAGTACGATGTGCATGCCAGTATGCTCTTCATTGGTTATCATTAATTCAGAAATAAATATTTCTTTACTTATATCTAAAACTTCTGAAATGTGCAA